ACCCCTGCCATTGGAGCAGTGAGGGGTGATGGAACCTGACAGGGGAAGCTGCATCCTGGCCAGGCAGACCCTGGGTGCAGTCCCAGTGGGGGAGAGGGGATGTAGGGGGTAATAAATCCCCTCCCTGTCCCTTTTGCCTCAGGGGACTATGCCCCACCCCTGCTGCTGGAGCAGCAAGGAGGGAGCGGGGACCTTGACAGGCGCTGGTTCGCTCCAGCCAAGCAGACTCTGGCTGGGGTTTCTCAAGGGGAGAGGGGAGGAAATAAACCCCCTCCCTGTGTCATCAGGAGACCATGCCAGGCTGGCATCAGGGGGCGATGCCAGGGGCCAGGGTCTGGCCATGCTTCTGCCCCTCCCCCCCCAAAAAGCATGGCAAGGGCTGCTTCCCCTCTCCAGACACACACCGGCTGAGGTCCCTGGAGGTCTAAAACCCACCCCAATCATAGTCAGGCCTGCCTGGGCCCAGCCAGCCCCCCGTAGCTCAGCTTCCCTTGGCTGCTGAAGAAGAGAAGGGAGGGTTTGCTCTAGTACCCCCCCGGCTTCTGGCCTGAGCCACGGCAGGCACGTGCCTGCATTTCTGGAATCAAAAGTAATGTCTATTCACTTGCTTGCCAGTTCAACCTACGCCAGTTACACTAACCTGCAGATTGAATCAATTCAGGCACGAGCTTTCTGAATGTCTGCAGATAGCCTAATAGTTTGTCTTAGTGTTCTTTATGTGTTGGAGATGAGGAAGATAAAGCAGAATCAAGAATTCTTCTCAGGTCTACATAACTTGCCAACACTTCCTACTTTTTATTGAAAAATTAGTATTGACTTTATGGCCTCACAAAATAGTTTCATGTCATACAACAATGATCTGTATATGTTAATGAGACACGTATAATATGAAGATTCACAGTTAACCTAAATTAACAGGTGGTAATAAGTCATTGCAATCTTAGTTATTTGTCTACATTAACAAGCCATTTTAAGGAATTGAAGCTTAGCACCTGAAATTGTTAAGGCTTTTTGAGATTTCAGTCCTGAAAGCGTACCTTTTCCAGTTGGCTGTCAATTTTCCATTATTTAATATTAATATAAGTTTGCATATATCATTCATAGCCACTTTGCTCCCCATATTCCCAAAGTGATTTGTAGAATAGGGTGTGTTATTTCCAGTGATTATTTCTGGTACTAGTGAGATCTAGGCCTATTCTTAGTCTATTTTGAATATGGAAATAACAATATCTTTTCCAGACATATGAAGATGTTTATACTTTATTATCAAGATTTCATTCTAATGTCTGTGTGGCAGTCCATCAGGAAAAAAGGACTCTGACTTCTACTAGACTAATATAGTCTCCTTTGGTAGTTAGATTGGAGTGTTGTAGCTGTGATGGTCCAGGACATGTACAGGAGGCAAGGGATTTTTGTGATATGTTTAACAGACCAACTATAGTTGTGGGAGAGGTTATTCTCCTTTGTAGAAATTTTATCATGCACTTCCATATAGTCTTAATAATTCCACAGCCAACTCATTCAGCTTACAAATACAAGGGAATGAATTAAAATAATAATTGTAAATTATGAATGTAATGTGTCTCCGTACAGAAGGTGGGACACAGTGATTTGAGACGTGGTTTGTAGAATTCATGGTTCTGTCTCAGTTATGAATTCTTCATAAGCATCTTAATCAAGTTGACACCTACATTTTTGGATGTGCAGTCTTCTAACTTCCCTATTGTCTTGTTACATTCATGTGGGGCTTGAAGCAGGGTTAAACTTGCAACAGTTTTATTGAACTGATATTACTACAGTATCATGCAGATATAACAGTTGCATTATAAAAGCTTGTAGCAGTATTCTCTGATATCGGAACAGTTCTTGCTTCTGTCTGTACCTTAAGAAGTTCAGGTCTGGGGAAGAATGATTTGTGCTGAAGAAAGTCTTGTCTGTTTTACTTTTGGCAGACATCCAGAAATGATCGTATCTGATTGCTTTAACGTTGTTATAATTCTTGTGCTGTTGTGGATTCAAATTCTCCTTACGTGTTCCAGTTCCATTTGATTCACTTGCTTAAAAAGGAAATGCTAAATTATCCTTTATATTGCCTTTCCTTTGTACAGTTCCCACTGATTTTTGTGCATGGACCATCTGAGTCCAGCTTCAGAAAGAAAGCAGTGAGCCCAACTCTTTACTTTGTTATAAGAACGTTGCTGTATCTGATACAGCTCAGAGTATTGTAGTCACCTTTCAAACCATTTTTTTTCTCTTACTCGCTTTCACTTATTTTTAGCAGCAAAAATTGGGTACATTCCCTAAGCCAGAAAAACAGTAAATACATACACTCCAAAAAAAGTTAATCGCAGAATTTCATATGCAGAACAGATAGAACAAAAGATGTGTCAGCAAAGAGATTTTTTTCATTACAGTTAATTTGCAGGTACAGATTGAGTTTGACTGTGGACTGCCGAAATTTCAGCTGTTATGATGTCAGGCCTCCTGATGGCACGTGGGAAAACTGGTAACATCAAGCCAGGGAAGAAGCACATATTGAAAGATTTTGATGTAATGCATACTCATTCTTATTCACCAACTATGTAGCTACAAGCCTAGTAGCGATGGATATAATTATTAGTGACTCGAATTGAAAAATGATATTTCAGTGCATAATGTGTTCTGTAGTCAACAAACCAAACGTTATATTTATATTTCTGTTTATTTAATGTCCCTATCCAGCAGGGTCTGAGCACATGTAGAGAACATTTAAAAAGATCCGTTATATAGTTTTGAGTGTCAGGAAATGTGCCCTCAATCCCCAAGTGAGCTGGATGCCTTGGGGGCAAGTCCTGAATAACCAGATAAGTCTTATACCATTCCCTAAATTTTAGCAGATTTGGATGCTGATAAAAGCAAGGGGGTAAGACATTCCAAAGCATAATTTCTTCCACTCATAACCTTCTGATGGGTCTTCCCCCAGCCTCACAGTGTTCCTGTCTAGGGGCTGTGAGCAAAAATACCCCAATTAATCTGTCATTACAACAGCTGAACAGCAAGTAATGCAGGTCTCTAGGATCCCCAGGATTGAATGTTTTAGGCTTTATACATTAAAATCATAAACACTGAAGGGAACAGGAAATCAGTTCAGCTTTTGGAAAATGTTTATGAAACGTCCTTTAAGTATGTAAGCAAGTATATATATTCTGTACTAGTTGAAGCTTCATAGCAGCCATCAGGGAGATCCCCAGGTATAGCACTTTGCAGTAGTATGATTGTTAAGTCACAGTCATGGATAATTTTGGCAGGATCCTTGTCAGAGGTAGCTCTAATCATCGAGTCAAAAGTAGATGTCAGAGATTGCATCTGACAGTCAGCCCCTGGAATCCAAGAGTAGTCAGAGATCCAGAAATATCCTTCATTGCAAACCTCCTTGAAAAAATCCTCACTAACCAGAGCAGATGCTTATTAGCCTCACTACCATCTGTCCTGGACTGATCCTCTATCGATTTGTTGTCCTCCAAGCTGCTATTTAGAGACAGTGACCATCCCTAATGATATTTTAAGATAAATCTTTTGTAGATGTTATTGGAAATGAAAGAAAACTTCAAAATATGGCTGTGGAAAGAGTTGAGTGAAAATGAACCTCAATCTGTGGTGCTATATGTGCATTACAGTGTTTGGTTTTATACCCTATCTCATACTCTAGATATCCCAAATCTTCCTGAAAGAGGGAGGTACATGCATAGCTACATCTTTATCACTAGGCAGTAAAGCAGCTATTTTATCATTGGCAATAGTTCAAACACAGCTTCAGATATTGGTATTTGTTTTAAACACAGAGGGACTATTGCCCAGGGCCTGGACTAATCTCTCAGGTTCTTTACACAACTCATTGGTCATCTGGACAGCAGCGGGGATGGGAAGAAGGGATCTTGATAGAACTGATCTAAAGGACAGTTCTTCAGCTCAAGCAGTTACACTATCACATTGCTGAGGGTCTGTTGTGGGACTTCAGACCTTACATTATATCCTAAAGTGAAATTACATACTAGTCAACAATGCTGATATGTTGGGAACTGACCCTGCTGAAGGTGTAAGTCCAGTTTAATGAATTAAAAGGTATATTGGGCTTGTGTACGTGCGCTCATTCACGTGTGTATTTATGTAAATATACAATATATACATAAAAGCTACATTGACTTTATATTATCTATATCTAAACACAGTAATAACAATACTTTTGTATGTGTGTATCAAGTAGTTTAACATATCTCTTGGTTTATGTAAAAGTGGCATGTTATTTCTCCATCTGTTACGTGTGTGTCTTCGAATTATTTGTTTAATATATAGAGGGGGCTGGATGGTGATAGGGCTCCTTTTACCCTGGAGAGCCACAGTGAGCAAGATTCTATTTAGCTTTATCCATCCTCAACAAAATGATCAGCCAAGGTCCATTTTATTGACTCTTTCTGGCCGTTTTAAAAGCAGAATACAATGCAATCTGACTCTAAAATGCCAGTTAATTTATAGCATTGTCAGTTAAAACAAAAAAAGATTTGTAGAATGAGTATATTTGATACTGAAAAATATAGAATTCTAAGATGCCATGTATAAAATCACTTTCCAGAGTATAACCACACTTTCAATGTGTAACACCTAGCATTTTTCAGTGGGGAAGAAATTTAAGTTAAAAAGGAATTTTGAAACTCAAAGTATGCATAGCAAATGAGAATGATAGAGTTACTGTTTATTGTATTTCAGCCTGAAAACATTATGCTTCAGAATAAAGCAATCCATATAGTGTTAGAAACATTCATGAACTGCAGTGTCAGAGGGTTAAAAGTGAGTGTAAGAAGTGCATAACTTCTGTGTGTTTCAGTAGGGCTCTATTGTAGTCAAGGGAAAATCTGTAAAATGCTATTTAATCAGGTAACTTAGAAACAAACATTCTGTAAAAGATGCTCTAGTGTGTTATCATTGCATTGTAGAAGATCAAACATTTGTATGCCCTCTTGTAGGTTGGGAAGGATTCCTTTGGCAATGAATACATTGAAAATTTCAAAAGGAATGAGATTTCTACAGGTAAAGCATTTTTAAACATCATTTCACCCATTATTTTTTAAGAAACTATAATAGGAATTGGAGCTGGAAGAGAAGGAAGGAAAGAGCAGGCAGGTCACCTAATCAGCGCACCCAGTGTGCAGGCAGAATCACTTTCTGTAGTGCAGTCTCTATTGCTTTGTCCAGATCAGTTCAAAATGTCTTGTGTGTAAACCATGAGGTTGGTGGTTTCAAGAGTGGTCATTTATTTTAAACCCAAAGACTGATATTTAGAATGCTGGGAACCTGCAAATCCTTTTGGAGTCTTTAAGTGTATAACAGGGAGCCTGAGGCTTTTGTTACTTTAAGAGGGAAAAAATAGTAGTAGGCAGTGCTCAGGCAGCCTAAGAAGAGCTAGCTGCAAAAGAATAGGCAGCCAGGGGCAAGAAGCTAAGAGGGACTATTGCTGTGCTAGTTGCACAGCAATAATATGATAGGATAGAGCCCTGCCAAAACAGAGGCATACCTATGGTAGCTGGAGTAACAGCAACAAGCTGTCCATTAGAATGAGAGAGAAGCAGCTGTGCCAAAGCTACCCCACCACCTGACTGCGAGTGGGCAGGACTTGAGCAGCATATAAGCCTGGACCTGAGCCAAGCCAGGCTGTCTGGCTGTGGAAGCCACAAAGAGAGAGCTCTGCAGGGAGAGGATTGTAGCTGCAGTACAAACTGAGACCCTGATACAACTGGGAACTGGAAAGTAAGGCATTGAGGTCTGGCAGGGAGCTGGGACTCTGGGTGAAAAAATCATTTTGTTATACAGCCAAAAGGCTACGGATTGAGTTACAGCCAGTGTGCTTAGGGTCTTGGTGCAGTTCAACCAGTGGACCAGCAAGGGACTAAAGGGAAGGTTTGGAAGTCCCAGTGTGTCCAAGGGGCACATGGCTTTCTTGAGCCCTGTCAGAAGGCAGGGGCTTCATTGCAGTGAATGAGAGAAAAGGGGAAACAGGTCTAGGGGGGCCCAAGCCCAAAGAAGGGCATAGACTAGGGCCAGGGGCCCTAGTCAAAGAGGGGCGTAAACTATAGAGAGCTAATCATTTTACAGCTCGAGAGGGCCAGCAAGCCCACAGCCCAAGATGGGTGGAGACTTAATCAGAACATTGAGGCCTGAGGAGGCCAGATATTAGACTGGGTCTATGTGCCCACTAAAGTAATTAATTGGTACCATCTGTGAGGCATGAGCATTGCTGTAGGGGGGTTGGAGGCCATTAAGTTAACCTTTAAGGTGATTAGTGCCCTGACGGGGTGGGGCCCGGCCAGGCCAGGGAGCCATATTTGGCACCAGAGGGCAGGACAGCAGGGTTCAGGAGGAACCCACAGACTAAGAGCAGACAAGGGCTCACTTTGAGACCCTAGGGAAGCCTCCCTTTTCACTGATCAGCGAATTATATCAAGGTGTGGCAGGCGAGGGAAAAGGAGCAGGACCCAGAATGAAGGCAGGAGCTGCGCAGCCTTCCCTGGGGTCCAATCCTGTTATAAAGGGCATTGGGTGCTTAACTGGCTGAAAAATCAGATCCTGGTTCAGGCACCTGGTTACTGAGTTACCCAAAATTAATGGCCACATTTGCAAATGTTGGCCTTTAATAATCAGTCTTAAAGTTCAAGATTGATTTAGAACCTAAATCGCTGTAGGCCATAGATTTGCCTTTAAGGACCAAAGAAGCTCTATACTTTTAAGAAGTCACTACTAGGCATTAGTTCCTCTTCACAGTGTGATTTTTGTCCTTTTCTGAAAAGTGAATGGAGAGAAACGGTACTTTATTACTCAAGACACATGTAAATTAAAACTTATATTTATTCAGTTCAGTAGGAAAAGTGAGTTTTTACTCTTGTTAGCTCTGCAAAGTCAACATGAGTAAGAGAGGGTAAGACCCACAAACTTCCCTGCTACTCTCTTCTTGAATCGCCAAGTCAGTGAGAGTCTTTCCATTGATTTATTTGAGCATTGGATCATTAGGCCCTAATAGAACTTTTCAGCAAGTTCCAATTGATTACGCCCTTGCAAACGGATTGAAAGCAAAGGAGCTGCACAGGTATCTAACTAAACTGGCCTACAGAATTTAATTTACTGAGAGAATCAAGTTTGAGTCTCCCCTCCCATATTCAGTCTGCAGGGTTGGCAGTTAAGGAAAAGCATTGTTTTGCTTTTAACCCTTATAACTTTTCACCCAAATATGATAATTAAGTAATAAAAATGAAGCTTCACGATGCCATTTTTACATGGTCACTTTGCAGAGCCTAGCTAGACTGCTAGAAAATATACATCCTAGTTACACACATACCCACACACAAACTGTGTTTAAAAAAAAAAAAAAGTATGTTTTCAAAGCCAAAAACTCAGATTAGGAAATGCTACATTTAAAAATGTCTGTGCAACCTGAATTTGTCCCCCTTTTGCTTGTGCGTTATGATACAATCTGCAATTGCATGATCACATTTCATTTGTTTTTCATAGGACCCTTTTCTCAGACCGATCACAAGATGTGCAGGGCTCACTTAATAAACAGCTATTTAATATTTCATTTTATTCTTATTGTTTAATGCATGGCCCCTTGTCTTATAAACTACACATTATTCAAATCCTGCTCTGAATAAAGTATTTATTCCCTCCTGGACTTTTCTGTGAGGCATATCACTGTAGTATCTGAGTGTTTCGCAACCATTCATTAATTTTTACTATTCTCCTGTGAGGTGAGTAGGCAGGATTATCTCTATTAAATAGATGAAGAACTGAAGCACAGAGAGATTAAGGTTAAAAATAGCCAATAATTATGGGTAGATATTGGATATCCACCAATTTGACGCACCCACAACTTGGTTTTTTAGAATACTTTGCATTAATAGCACTTCAAAGCCCAGCTACCACCTACTTCGTTTGCAGCTGTCAATGCTCAGCATTTCTTCAGATCAGAACCCAGGGTTTCAGGTCAGATGCTCAGAAAAAAAAGAACAGTTTATAACCACTTGTGAAATTTTGGCACGAGTGACTTCTCTAGCACTACCAAAAAGTCCTGTGGTAGTGGCAGAGAGACTGCAGTTCCACAGGACTGAACTCAGTTGTATTAGCCATCAGACCAACCTTTCAGCTCCTGCAGTGTCATGCCTCATTCACTCCATGCCTTCTAACTTTTGCAACAAATAAGGCAGGGATTTGAAAGGTTTTTATTCTCTTTTTAATATACACAGTCTTAATTCATCCTAGAGCAGATCCACTCCATGCATGGAATAAGGTAGTGGTCATGAAGAAAAAATAGTGTGTGATCTAGGAATTAAAGACTATCATAAGGCTCCAGAAGTGCAAATTAAGGCTCAGGCAATTTTAACTCTTCCAAGTGTTCTAGTCCAAGCTCTGGAGCGAATTGTGATCTAATGGGCACAGACACTTCTATTGCTTTCCCCCACACCCAGGTTTGAGCCTTTCCTGGCCCATCTCCTCTAACCTGTCCCAGTCCTGTGCCATCCTATCCCCAAGGCCTAGTCTCTTTGCCCAGCCAATCCCAGTTTCTATCTCCTACCCCATCCCTGCCAAGCACCAGTCCCAGCCTCATCACCTAGATTACATCACCTAATCTACTGCCTAATCTCCTCCAACAAGTCCAGCTCTGGTCCCTAGTCCATTTGAGTTGGGAAGTTTCATCCTCCATACTGTTTGAGTATCAACAAAGTTATCACTCAAACAGTATGGTGGAGTAGATAGTTGAGAAAAATGCCCCTGCTTGCAGTTGTAACAACGCAGAGCTGCAGCTGCAGGAAAAGTCCTGCTCCTACCCACTGCATCTCTGGGACTGAATGTGCTCAGTACAGAGGGATTTTTTAAGGAGATCAGCTGCAATGCTCTAGGAAATTTCTCTGTATGGGTGGTACAGTTTTTTGGAGAGTTGTAACTTGTCCAGGTTTGGGCAGTTTTTCTTGGGGAGTGCAAAGCTAGATGCCTGAAGCAAAGGCTACTCCCTGCAAAATTTCAAGTCCCTACTTCAAAGCAAGGGGACAACAGACCTTCTCAAAGAGAAGGTCACCAGACTTTTCTTCTATATGGGCAGAACAGCATACTTTTCTCTACCCTTTTTCTTGGAAACAGATGGACCATTTGGGTAGACATTTTCCAGAGAAATTCACCCTGGAACAGATACCTATCATGGACAATTCCAGGTCATTCAGACAATATTTAGCAAATGTATATGCAGCTGTAAACAGGGTTTTACAATGGGAAGTGCTGGACAACATAATAATAGGCAGAGCTACTAGCCAGGCTTTTTCACGTACTTAACTGAATGGATTAATCCAAAAGGGAAATATACAGCATCACCAGAACCTCCTTCTTCATAATGCAGGCTGGTGTTCCTATGAAATGCAAACCCATGAAGAATTAAAAGAGAAAAATGTGCTATATTGTTTTGATGCTCTAGTTTACTTTGGCGTTGAATCCATTGTTGCAGTGAATAAAAAGAATTCTTCCATGTAGATAGACCTAGAATGCCTGAGAAGACTATAAACAACGTGCTTTTCTCTGAAGCAGTGTTGAAGCCAAATTAGAGAATGTTGGACTCACATTTGCTGTTTTGTGGGTGTAACTTAACACTTTTTGTTGTTGTTAGCTTCCTTGGCATTGTTGCACATGAAAGAGTAATTAGCATTTTTAAATTGCTGAAGGTTATAGGTTTATTTTAGATTTAATTCAATTAAACTGCATCACATGCTATTGGCTGAAAGTACTGCACTGAAATAATACACACTGTAACTTTTCCCTTTCTTAGAATTTGTAGGTCAGACTGAGGATGCTGCTACAGGAGCTGCTTCAATAATTGTCAACAGTGAAGGTACATATTTCACATCCTAGTTGCCCCTTTTCAGCACAGAAAAAGAAACCTTTGTCTTGTTCTTGTTCATTGTGGAGTTTTCTTTTTATAAAGCCAAATTTTATATTTTTATACTGTGCTGCACTTGCTTTTTCTTACTTATGGACTACTTGGGGAGTAAGGTGTTTCTCAAGGTGAGTGAGGGTGGCAGGATCCAATCCTTAGATTAGCAGCATATGAAGAGTCATAATTACATCAGCCCATCGATCCATCTAGTTTTACCTTGGCCAGTACCTGGTGCATCAAAAGAAGCTTTAGCTCCCTTCTTCCCTCATAAGGTACCTAGCTCTTTTACAGTGGGAGAGAGGATTTTCTTCTAACCCCATGAGTTGATCAGTTTATACCCTGAATCATGAAATGTAAATTACCCTTGTTATCTTAGTCTGCATAGGTAAAATTATGTGTGGTTCTTAGGTTATCCAGTTGTTTTTAAAATCTCACCACAATATCTGAGTCCAAGTTCCAAGTTCCTTCTTGCAGTATATATGCTCTATAAAATGACATACTCCTTTATTCACCCTACATGCATTTCCATTTAGTTTAGCATATATTTTTGCTTTCATATGCTAGGACAAAGTAAAAAGAAGGAATTCATCTCTTTTTGTGTTGCCCTTCAAAATGGATAATTTACCTTCTGCATGTCCCTAATATATGCATGTTCTGTGAACTCTGAAAAATTACTACCATCTAGAATGATGTTTAGGCTTGGACCTGAAAAAGGTTAGTAGATGACTGCACCATGTTAGGGGCAGGCCTGGGAAGGAGACTGTAAGAACATATCTACACAGGAAAATTAAGCCAAATTAACTGAAGGGTTGAATTAAAACTACATATATTAAAAAGCATTAATCCCCTGTGCAGATACTCTCATTCAAAAATAAAGTGAATTAAACTCAACCTTCTCTGAGACCGCTATAACTCTTCCCTTGACATCTTCCCTCTCTCTTCTTGCTCTGTGTTGGGAAGTAAATTACTGCAGCTCTTGAGAACATGCATCTTATATCCCTCTCATACCTGTCCAGATAGTTTGTCCTGTAAATGAAATGGAGGCAGAGGGCAGAGCCCAAGCACAGCCTGTTCCCAGCCTCTCTTATTCTTTCCCCTGCCCACTTCTACATGGGTGGCATACCCAAGGATCAGTGGCTGTGCTCCACACTGCACCTGAGGTCCTGAGCAAGGGGGAGGCTGCCTTACTCTCCTCTCTAATATCCTGCATGGTCAGGTAAGACAATGGACAGTCTAACCATGAAACAGCAGAGTGTAACTGCTGAATTCTGGAGAACCCATGAACTGTTGTGAGGGATGGAGGAACAGAAATTTATAGTGGATTTTAAAAATGTTAAACAGAGAGAAAGCAAGCCAGAGTGACTGTGCACAGTAGTCCTAGACACTGGCATTGGTGTGAATGTTCACTAGTGAGGTTGTGAGGCAGAGGATGAGCTGAACAGTATTTTGTGGCATTTAGAGTGTTTCTTTCAAACTAAAAGTTCTGAAAGGAAGCTACCAAATCAAAAGGTGGGTGCAGAATTTACATAAAAGCTACTCCTGGAGCAAACCTGGCCAGAATGGCGCTGTAAAGCAAACAGATGCACAGAATTGGTAATGGTTCTGGTGGTTGTTTCTATTTAAAACCATCTGGTGCCTGAACTGAGTAAATGACAATAAAATAGCAGTACATTCTGTGCTCTCCTGTTGCAAGTGGCACCATTTTTTGTTTTCCTTGCAGAAGCCTGTCTGATTCCACCCAAATCAGTTTTACAGTGCTTATCTAAGGGCTTGTCTTTACATGCATGTTTTACTACTTCAGTTATGTTGGTAGAATAAAAACAGTACAATGCATGCAGTGCAGATACTGGCATGAAGCAGCTTGTACAGATTATTCCCAGAAGAGAAAAGTGGAGGCTTTTTTTTGAAGAGTCTGCATTATTCCATCAAGATAATTAGGGACATAGAAATGGTAGGGTCAGTATATTTCTTAAAGGGACCTAGTTTTAATTAATTTTAATTTGCAACTCCATACTTGTAAACGTAGAAAATGCGAAGTGTACTGAAATAGTAAGTGCTGTAGGTTTGGGAAGGATGCACCATATTTTCAATCCAAAACAAAGAATCTGAATGCTGCTTTAAGAGTCAAACACGCTCTTTAATTATAGAATTATGATGAGTACCTCCAGGATGTGGTCCTGTGAAATCTCCTATTCAGAGGCACTGCAGCTGCTCATTGGGGTATCCGCAAAATTCTGTGTTTTCTGGAAACTTTCATTGCTTCCATGTGCTTTCTCTTGTTTGACTGTCTTCAGATAGATGCTTGCTAAGAACAGTATTCAGCTTTCCAGGAAGCTCCCAGGTGGGCTTCTTGATCAAGACCCTGAACATTGATATCCTTTACCCTCTCCCCACAAGACAAGCAACTGGGATGCTCCCACAGCTACTTTTTCTGAACACCTCTCTGCTTTACATGCATAGTCCTCATGTACCACTCTCAACTGCTGCCACCTTCCTTTCAACTTTCTTTTTTCTGTCTCCCTACTGTCCCTACCTGCCTAGACTGCATTGTCAAACTACTCCTTTTTTGTTTTGAAATGTGTGCATACTTTAGCATCAAAGCACTAAATGTGCATTTACCCACAGAGTAAATGCAGGGTTTATAATGACATGGCACAACAGAGTGCTACATGGAGATTTCAGAGCCATTTCTGTATGACCAGGGCTAATAAGCCCAAGCAGAATACTGTGTTAATGCAGCTATACCTGCCTGTTCTGCTGCCCAGGCCAGCTCAGAGCTAACTTTGATAGCTGCATTGTACCATGTAAGCATACACTGTGTTCACTAAATAACTGGTTGACAGATACTTAACCTCATTTCAAGCAGGCATTATGCTACCTTCTCTATAAAGGGTTCTGTCAGTGCATCTGCCTTCTAACCTGCAACAGCTTGTGCAACAGCTCCTGCCATTTCAGTTGTGGGCCCTCGCTCTCTTCTGCTTGTGCCCCTCCATCATGCCAGTCTCTCTTGTTAATGTACTGAATCGTCACTATGAATGCAGGAACTCCTATGTTAGGTCAAGATCCATGTAGGTCAACATATTTTTGCTAATAGTGGTCAGCACCAGATATTTCAGAACAAGGTACAAGAACCCTAAAGTTAGGTTATTTTCTACCCTCTTTCAAGTTTAGAGGAAACTGGTAAAATAACACAAACAAGTGCAAAGCATGAATATCAGTTTGACTGACACGTCCTTTGCATAAGGTAAAACATCTTTTGGAGCTTTCAGGGTAATGGAAAAAATGTTACCTGATGTATTATTTTAGCCCATTGACAGCCATAGTGAATTTAAAATGTATTTGTACAAGGCTTTTCAACACTTAAAGCACATGACTGAAGATAAATTGTATTTCCATGGACACACACAACACTTGCCCTCGTGCTTCTGACCTGTGACTTGGCAACCAATTATTTCTCATTACATTCTTTTACAATCGTAGGTACCTTAATTTTTTCTTACAAAATCCTGTTCAGAAGCTTTGCAGCTATTGTTGCAGTTGTACTGACTGAGAAACTCTTGAGGCTTAAATATCACGGACAGCTTGAGAGCTCTTCCATGTGTCTTGTAAAGGAAAAACTGTTGAGTTGTGTTCATCAGTGTGTACTGAATGTTCCCGTGGCACTTGTTACCTGCTGGCATTTATGGAATGAATCATAGAATCATAAAAAGTGGGGCTGGAAGGGACCTCTGAAGGTCATCTAGTCAAACCCTCTGCCTGAGCCAGAATCGTCCCGATCCCCAAACCATCCCATAAAAATCTTTGTTTAGCATATTACTAAAATGATCCAATCAACCCTAGCAGACAAGTACAATGTATAGCACCCTCACCTGCACAGGTTAAGCAAGGGCACAGTGGCAGTCAGTGTCCTGCTGTTGCAGGGATTGTTAAAATACACTTGAGAGCTCCAAGGAAGATAGGCACATGCCCCAAAACAGAGAAAGGCAAAAACTTCCACAGTCCATACCAATCTGACCACAGGGTAAAACTCCTTCGTGACCCCAAATGTGGAGATTGTTGCAGCTTAATTTTTTTTGTGAAGACTAAAGTAAAGTAGATATTGAGTAGCTCCATCTTCTCTGTATCTTTTAAGAGCTCATCCTGGCTATTTAATAGTCAACCATCAGTTTCCGTGGTCTTTCTTTCGTGGACAACATATTTATAGAACCTCTTGTTGTCTTTTTCTTCCCTAGCCAGCTGGTGCTCATATTTTTTACCTTTGCCTTCCTGATTTTATCCCTACAGATTCTTGTTATTTTCTGGTATGCTTCCTTAGTGATCTGCCCATCTTTCCATTGTCTGTATGCTTTCCTTTTGCAGTTGAGGCATCCTAGAAGCTCCTTGTGCAGCCACATTGATTTCTTGCCATTCCTCTTGTGCTTCCTTCATGTCAGAATAGCTTGTTGGGCTTCCAGTATCAGACCCTTTAGAAGCTTTAGAATAAACTTAATAATACTTTAAATAAGCTTGCCAGTTGTCAGTCTACTGTCATTGACTACCATCATTCTGACAAGTAACACTGATAAGGTTAGAAGCCCACTTTAAAGCAGTATCTATTACCTAGCATTGGTACTGTTTTAAGTACCAGAAGCAGTTTTAATAATGATCAAATCCAATCCCCACCTCTTGTTAATTTGTGATGGTCCCTTAACTTCAGTAGAGCTGTTCTAATTTACACCTGTTGAGAATGTGACCTTTAATATTTTAATTGAGCTCAAAACATTTGTATCTGCAAACACTTAGTCACATGAGGAGTCCTTAGTCATGTAGGTAATCTCATTAAAACCAGGAACTATTAGTATAAGATTCTGCAGGATCATGCTGTACAGAAAGCATCTTCTCCTAGCTGTTATTTTCCATATTTCTTTAATACTGGCGTATTGTCTCTGGTGCTGAGTTTCCATCTGGTTGGTGTCATCAGTGTCAGTGTTTCAGCAAGATGACTGCCACCAGCCATAGACTCAAATGCCAACTGTGATTCAGTGCTTTAAGCCAGATTCTGCTCTTGTTCATGCTGGTGTAAAGTTGAAGACGGTTTTTTTGTCTTAAATCTGGAGCTGCTCTGCTGAAGTCTAGCTGAGAACAGAATGAATTCCTCCAGAGGTTGGACTGAGCCAGTTCTGGTGGTACTAATAGTTGCAGTGTGGTAGTGCTGCATTTCTCTGGCAGAACTATTGGTTCAAAGCAAAATAGATATTTTTAACCCTTTAAACTGTCAAAGTAAACTTTCTGACTATGACTCAATG